TTAATTCTTCTCAATAAGAAAAATTAAATAATATAAAAATTATTTGGTTCTAATTTCTAGATCTTGAGATATATTTATTTAAAGATCAAATTTTAAAATATCCCAAAGCTACCTTTTGCTATGAGGCTCCCTATTTGTTAATGCTAAGTGATAGTAATTGTACTAAATAGTAGCTAAATATTTGATGAATGTTTGCTAAATTTTTGCTAAATAATATGCTAAATATTTAACAATTTAGTGCTGTTTTTGCAAATTTCAACTAGTAAAGATCTAAGACTAAAAAAAGAACTTTTGTAATAGTATTTGCTATATATTTAGTTCTCACAATTGCAAAAAATACCAAAACCTACTTTATATATTAAATTTGACTATCATAAGATTGGTTTTTTACAAGAAAATTTTTTTTCATATAAAAAAAAAAAAATTTTATATAATAAAAAACTTTATATAAAAAAGAAGAATAAAAGTATAATAAAATTATAATATATAATATCTGTAACTCTTACCTATTTAAATATTTTAATTATTAACTTATTCTTATATTAAACCATCATTATTACTATATCTAATCATTTAAACTAACCATATGTATATATATAAACCTATATACAAATAATATTTAATAATGTTTTAATTTTTGATAAAACCAAATATTTCAACTAAAGCCATACCAAGCAAATTATTCGTTTAACATAACATAGGTTAGCTAATATAGAAAGGAAGAAAAGATAAGAAAAAAAAATTTTTATATTAAAAAAATTCGACCAATAAAATTTCAAATTTTGAAAAAATAAAAAGAAGGAAATTATGTTAAACGAATAATTTGTTTGGTCCGGCCTAATTAATAACTAAAAAATATCATTATATTATATTCAGATATATTATAGTTTGTTTAAATAAATAAATAATAATATTTTGCTTATCTATTATTATTAATATTAATTTTTATTTAGTTACAATTTCTTTTTGTTTAAAGCTAAACAAAGAACATACTTAGAGCTTGTACCCGTTTATCCGACAACCCGGGAACCGTTATTTTGACAATATCGCGAAATAAATTATGTTTAACCGGTTGATCCGGTATCTGGTTAAATAAGAATGGTGAGAGATAGAGACTCCGAAAAGTTACGAAGTAGAATATCAATGAACGGTAAAAGACGAGCAAGGTCATAAAATTTCGGGAGAATATTCCGAAAAAGTCAACCAGTTCACCGGTTACCTCGAATTATTTGAAGTAACCCGTAGGTTAATACTGACATAACGGGTGAGTAAACCGGAGCATAAATTTTTAGGCGGGTACAAGCTCTACTTATACTTTTATGCTTTTTAATTTTGATGATTTTTTCCTATGTTTTCAAAGCAATTGCACTTAGGAAGAGTATTTACAAAACGAAAAAAAAAAAGTTATTTTTGGCGCAAAATCGATAACTGATGATTGGTAGATCAGTTATACGGATGAAATTTTCTGCGACCTAGTTCGGAAGTCACATGATTTTGGAAAATCGATAGCATTGTTCTCTTTTACTACAATAACACATAAAAACTAAGTGATATTGAATACAAGTCACTTTCGTTATAGTGAAGAACAATTTATATAAAAACCCTCTTGATATATAATGAATTTACTAATGGACTCTCGATATAGTGAAGAAAATCTCACAGCCCGATCACTTCACCATAACGAGAGTGACTTGTATTAAACAGCGATGATAAATTAACAATATTTAACATCTCTCGATATACATGATCCGGTATTACGCAACATCTATTTATTTGTTGTATACAATTAGGTCAAATTTTTAAATCAATGCAAAAAATGGAGTAAATAATATTGTTCTAAATAAAATTAAAGTCTAGCAAACCAACGATTATGTATAATGTTCTAATTAATTATTCTACGATTTATTAATCAACACTCATAATCGTATCTTCATTTTCGTCTTTATTAGTAATTTCTTTATCACCTTCCTTTTCTTCTTTAGATTTGTCTGTATTTTGAACATCTAAAATATCCTCTGAAATTGGCATTTCTTCAAGTTTAGTTTCTTTAGAATTGGGTTCTTCAGATTTGGATTCTTCAGACTTCGGTTCTTCAGGATTGGGTTCTTCGGATTTAGGCTCTTCGGGTTTAACCTCTTCAGGTTTAGGTTCAGGTTTTGGTTTTGGTTTTGACAAGATCGGAGTTGCAAACCGTACTAAATTCTAAATATGTAAAATGCATATAAGTAATAATTAGGCGTGCGAAACTCTTAACGAGTTATTAACTTACCTCACGCTCCTTGTAAATTTCTCGACAAAAGACTGCTGGAGGTTCATGTTTTGGCAAACATTCTTGTGCTTTTAATTTCTCATTCAACCAATCAGATGTTTTTGTTGCCATTTCAATAATGCTCTTTTTTTCTTCTTCAGGAATATGTGAAAACCTTTCCTCATTACCGGTTGCGCTGAGAATAAATGAATTTATGCTTTCTCGTAGTGATTGTTCGGCCCTTGGTCGTTCTTCTGCTTCACGGTATCGTTCAGCGATGGGTCCTCCGTAAGTTTTCAATTGGTCAAGTTTTTCAACATATACTGATTTACTGGCATCTTCCCCTTCGTCATAAAGCCAGTTTTCAGTATCATTAAGTAATTTAATGAATGTGTCTTTATCATTAATATTGACAAAGTCATGATAGATCGATTCCATTTTGGATCGAGTATCGTAAACGTATTCTTCAAGTGCGTTCTTTTGAGTCTCTGTATCAGCTACAAGCTTATCGGATACAATCATTTGTCCCTCTTGCTCTTTATATTGTGAGAGGATTGATTTCTCCAATCCATTATGTGAAGTAACAATTTGTAAATCTCCTTTCTTTACGAGTTTTTTTACTTTCTTAACTGGTGGACTTGGAGGCTTGGCATTTTCTGAAGGCGTACCATCTGTATCCATCGGTTGTGGTTCGGTAGTTGTTTCTTCTTTTTCTTCCTTTATTACCTCTTCTACAATATGGGCATTATCCACGGAAATTATTCCATTCATATTGAGTCTGGCTTTAACTCTAACTATACTTAAATCTCCCTTTTCTGTGGGTGTTACTCGTTTAATAGAAAATTTCCCAACCCAAGAATTAGAACAAGGTACTTTATCTGGTTCAGAATAGTAAGCTTCAATATCAAATGGCTCCTTTCGATAAAATGTTAAGATTTTTGTAGACGGAATGATATTTGATTTTTGAAACACGACAAGCTCGGATTCTTCATCAGGAATTTCGGGTATTCTGTCCCACGTAATTTTGATAGGATAAGGTGTAATATCTTGAACAGTGAATTCGCGAACCTTAAATACTGGTGAAAGAATAGCACATTGAAGTGCACATCCACGAGCAATTGCTTCATCTTGGTTTAGAGTATATTTGAGTTCTTGTCCAAAAAATTTGGAAATTCTTTCTTTAACTGCTGGAATACGCGTTGATCCACCAACTACTTCAACTGAATGAATATCGGCTAAAGAAAGTCCTGATTCTTTAAATGCTTGTTCAAGCGGTCCTTCTATACGGTCAAGAAGATGCTTAGACAATTCTTCAAATTCATCACGAGACATTATAGCACTGACATCGATATCATTCATTATTGACTCGACGTTGATAGGTGCTTGAGCATTAGCTGAAAGAACTTTTTTCAGTTTCTCTACACCTGTACGAAGTCGAAAAAGTGCTTTTTGATTTGATTTTATATCAATTTTGTATTTTTCCTTAAATATTTCAGAAAAATGTTCAACTAAAACCTGATCAAAATTTCGCCCACCAAGATGTCTATCGTAAGCAGTTGATCTAACTGTTAATTGTCCCTTAATAAAAGAAACAATCGCCACACTGTAACTCGAGTAACCAATGTCGACAAACACGACATTACGAGGTTTATCTTTGTCCTCAGGTAGGTCTGTCTTTGTAATACCATAACCTAATGCTGATGCACTAGTATCATTGAGCAAACGCAAACAATTTAGACCGGCGACCTCAGCTGCATCAAGAATTCTACGGCGCTGAGCATCTGTGAACCAGCCAGGAACAGAAATTACAACATCGGAAATTGGAATTTTAAGCTCCGCAGAAGTAATATCCTTAAGTTTAGTAAAGTACATAGCAACCAATTGCGTAATAGTAAATACTCGTTCTTCACCAAGATATTGTACCTATACCAATGAAAAAAATTCGTAAATTTGTGGTATAATTAAATATGATCCAAAATATCCATTTTGTCAAAACACGTGAATATTGTGTAGAGAATTTGATATACAATATCCTAAAATCAGCTAGTGTAACAAATAAGCGTACCTTGACAGCAACTTGAGCATTTTCTTCTGTCAACTCTGCATTAATATATTGTCTTTCGATTTCTTGAAGCTCCTTATCTTGAAAAGAATAACAGACGAGCCGTTTTAAAGACCCAACAGTATTCTTAAAATTTGAGATCTCCTGAGTTTTAGCTGCTTCGCCCAAATATCTATTTTTAAGACCGAACGAAACTAAAGACCTACAGTCACGAGTATATATTTAGATATTATTTATAATATAGACCGCAGCAAAGGTGACTAAATGTTACATACGGTGTTGTTCTGTTCGAAACCTCATTACAAATAACGTCAATACCACGATTACGTGCGACAGCAATCTTGGATTGGAGGGTACCAAAGTCAAAACCTAAAATAAAATTAAAAATCAATTTTTATAGTGAAAGTTAAATTATCAAAAAATCATTATTTTTACAAACCTATTACAGACATTATGAAAGCTTAATTTAATATAAATTGCAAGGAAAGAAAGATTATACAGCCGCTTTTTAAATAGGTTTTATATAGTATTTGATCTAACCAATAAAAAAAAATCGGGAACAATCTCGAGGTTCCAGCTCATTCTACGACATTCTTTGATACGCAATTGTGATATAATAAGCAACAATACAAGTGACATTCCTAAATGCTTGAAACATAAATATGATGTGATTATAAATGTGATTTAAAACCTTATCGTTATCTTGGAAAGTTTCGATTAAAAAATAGTTAATAATTTTACTTAGTGTAACGTATCTATAAAATTAATATCGATATACATATCAGGCGAATTGTCAAAAAAATACATTTTGCAAACCGCGATAATTATAATTTTATAATCTCTGATTGTATATATCTGATATACAGAATCTCTGTTTTTCACATGACAGCAGAGGGCAAAGCTTTTTTGGACATGTCCAATGTCCAAACGTCCAAGTGTCCAAAGTGTCCAAGCTGTCTATAGCCTTAAATATTTTAGTAATACAAATAAAAATTATATGATTTGTTTAATTCTAAACATTTTTTTGCTTAAAAGATTTGAATAGGTTATCTTAATAAAATTTTGAGTAAATTCATTTTATTTTTTTGTCCAAAATCTTGTCCAGACTGTTATGTACAACACTGGCAGAGAGCACATCTTTTACAAGCGCAATTTTTCGTATCAATATAGGAAGAAATGGCAATTAATTTTTCGGCACCCCTGAAATAAACTGTGTAAAATAAAAATTTATCGTTATGGTGCATTAGCGTTAGAGGCTATAGGAATAGGTTTAAGGTTGTGTTACAGAACTTACATTTCATATGTACCTAATTTTACATAAATTTCAGTAACTTGTAAATTTTTACACGTGATATCATATGCCAGCACTATGAAAACTTTAGCCAAAATTATTAAATACGCAAAATGTGTTTATCATAAAATTTATTGTACAGTACGTATTTATAACAATACAATAGATGGATTTTATTCTTCAAAATGATTATCGATTTTTAGAATACTATTTATATTTTATGTGATATTTAATACGTGCGATTTTTAATTTTATGACATAAAAATCGTCTCATAAAATACTGAACACCAGCGACCGGAGTTATGTTAAGAAATTACTACATGAAAACGAAAACTTACGCAAAATTACATAAAATTACGTAAAATTACAGTAATTTGACAACCCTAACTAGGTTGTCATTATCGCTATAGATACGACCAGGTCGGCCATTATTGCGGGTCGTGTGCTAAGCGTCACCACCGCAGTTGCAGGACGATTTTGATCCCGACCAATGGGTTGTATGAATGGTATGAATGTTAATATCCATGCAACCCATTGGTCGGGATCAATGTCCTGCAGCGCGGTGGTGGCGCTTATCACACGACCCGTAATCTGGATGGCCGGCCACCCTGATTTGGATTCGACTCTATTCTAATCCTAAATAATAAATCACTGGAATTACTATTTTTTTTTTTTACAGAAATAGTGGTTACCGAACTGAACTAAATATTGGCCTCTACGTATCAGCAATATCACCACTTGCAGATTATTATGTATAGTGGAGATTCAGAGAGTATTTACTTATCAATATTAATTGTCGAATAACTACAGAACTAGAAAAATATCAAATTATTAATAGAGTACTGTAGAATGAAAACCTAAAAGTGAATCTTTGTCCCTCTAACGAACTAGTATTTAGTATATAATACGTTATAGCAAGACTGTCGATTAGACGAGTTTAGACTTTTAATATCGATATATCTATTGGTAAAACCTGTCTAAAAGACAGCCTTGATAAAGATTCGCTTCCAAGTTTTCACTCTTATGAGCGAAAATTTTTGATGATAATAGGCAAATCATCAGTACTGGTACGGTTAAATTTTTATCAAATTACTGTTACCATTACAAAATAGGTCAATACACCGAAATGATTAAAAGCTGCGCCAAATTCTTTTCAAGGCTTAGAACAGATGAAATTTTATACCATTTCTACAGATTAGTAGAATTAAAATAAAAAAATTTTATCTGAAAAGAGCGCCAACTGCGCCTCTAACTGCGTTAGCAGTAGAGAAATTAAAAAAAAAAAAAAATTTTATCTGAGGTGGTTGTCGAGATATTTTTGTTCAGAGATTTTCTCGATAACCACCTCAAAATTCGATATTATTATTATTCTAATAATAAAATTTTTCATCGATTTTAGTTGCTATATATTTTGCTCAAAGTTTTAAAAAATTTCAAGTTCTAGAGCAAGTAGCAGCCAATACTTTAAAACATAAGTTATATATAATTAAACTATAACATAAATTAATGCTAATTGGGTTGAATTTAGTAAATTTCTCAATAAATCGTCGCTTTTTTCGGCATGGCTAGGGTACTGCACGTGGGACCACAGGGTCCTTATACAGAAATTGTAATAACGATAAAGTTCATGCTATGACAGTATATTATCGGTAAAATATATATATATTTATATATGCTGTATATATGATATTTACAATTTTCATTTATATACATCTCAACTATAGAAAATACATTCTAAAAAAATAACTAATACCAGTAATTAGATTTAGAAAGATTAAATTCCATAAATCTATTAGAGTAGAATACTGTAATGTTTTGATATTTCAATGACAATCTATGTTTGAAAACATGCCAAAATGGACTAATTTTAGTATAACATATTAACACTTTTAAAATTAAATTTTACAGATATTCTAAATAAATGAAATACAATTGTATTAAATGGCTTTAAAAAATTAGGGTATCATTCCCATTGATAAAATCGTTAATCATCGTCATCAGTGACAACCACATTCCTATTTCTTTTTCTTCTGATTATCATTGGTATTTCTTCTTCCTCATCTTCATCGGGTTCACTAGCAATTTGATCTACAACATTAACCTCATCATCTTCATCAACAATGCGTTGTTGTTCCTTTACTCGTTTTTTAGAATGTTCATCGCGATCTTGGAGTTCTCCTTGATTCTCTTCATCTGATATCTCAAACCTATGATTCTTTCGAGATTTTGGTATTTCTTCGATATAATGATGTTCCTTTACTCGCTTTTTGGTCCGTTCCTGACGATCACGACGATCGTAAAATGAATCGTCATCCACTTGAAACGAATCATCTCGGTCATCTTCATTTGATTCGTCATCATAATGACGATGCTTTTTGTATTTCGATGATACATTGCTGGATGATGTTTTTTTACGGTGACTATCACTAATCTTCTCTTTTCCTTTACGACGTCGTTTTAGTTTATCAAAATCATCGTCTTCATCTTCGTCTGCAACCACAAACCCAGAGTCATCTTCATAAGAATCATTTCGTGGTTTAATAGTGCCAAATGCAGAACTTCTTTCATCTGCATCAGAATCTTCGTCATGCTTTCTACGTCCTTTGGGTACACGATTTGCATTCACCGTGCGCTTTTGCACACTATGTTTTTTATCTCTCTCGGCCTAGATTAAAAAAATACATATAAATTTCATACAATAATTCAATCATTAAAATTCCACTAAAAATTGAACTGTTTATAATACCTCTATTTGAAGCTGAATCAATTTAGGATCCTTATTCATATCAACAAACTGAGTTTTTACTTGTTTTGCATGCCTAGATTGAATCGCTATGGTTAATTTTTTATGAGTAATACTGCCCGTAATAGGGCAAAAAGTAATATGCTCATTGAGTTTTTCATGAAGTTCAAGAGTGTTTGATCCTCGATGAGGAACCGTAAGAAATTGGTGTTTTGATTCTAAAGATTCAGTAGATATCTCAAATTGTTCTTTTCCAATAAGCAGAGTCCTTGATCCGTCGTTCCACTTTATTATCCTGGCATTTGATTCTTTTTCCTCAGTCTTACGGTGTAGCAAAAAATAAAATAAAAATAAAGAGATAAAACCACGAATGAAAAGAATCAAATTGAATAATATTATAGTACATACCTCTTTACCTGTCTTTGGATCTTTCTTGTACCGCCAACGCAGTCCATCCTGTGCACCCAACTTTATTGCATCATCAACTGTTTGATCATCTGATGGACTATAGCTCTCTGGTCGAAAAGCGGCAGTCGTATAGTGAAAAAAATTTGGTACTTTTGCGATAATATACTATTTTATTAATTTATTAGTTTTTAGTCAAATTAGACAAATTCAACAATGAAACAATACCAATCTTCAGCTTATTATACCTTATTATTCCAACTTTTTAATGGTAAGCGAAATACATTCGACATTGTCTCAGACTCAAAATTTAATCGGCGGTCTTCATCGTCTGAATTAATGGGTGATGCAATGGGTGAGGCAATTGGAGTTATATCTGCAGAACCTATTCCTCCTCTTAAATGATTAATAAACATAAATTAACATCTTTACACATCCATTATATGCAAAAATAGCATCATCAAGGCTTATACCGTTCTTCGTCACTACCCACACCTCCAAATAGATCATCGATTTCATCTCCACTATTTTCATTTTTTTTGCTGACACCATTTATAGATTTGGGGCTTCCGCTCTCTTCCTTCGGTTGTGAAAAGTCATCAGATAGTACAGGTGAATGTGGACCACTGTCTGACATTTTTTTATTATTACGAAGAAGTTATTTGTAAAAAAAAAAGCATCTTCCAAGCTAGATATTCTTTGTAGATTTGACCAAAAATTACGGGTCAGAATTAAGGCCGGCATTAATAAATTTTGCCCAATCTCAAAATGAACAGATGACTATTTCGATAATTAAAAAAACTTTATTTTAAATTCATTCACGTTAAAATAAATTTTTTTTTTTTTTTTATATAAACTTGAACGATCTTGTCTTTTTTTTAGTTTATAAAACTGTAAGTACAAATTTAAAGCTCTTGTACTACTTTCTTTTCACTAAGTTTATTTTTACTTAGCTGCTTCAAAAGTGTTTAATTAGTTACAATAGTAGGTTATTATTATTATTATTATTATTATTATTATTATTATTATTATTATTATTATTATTA